GCAATAAATCAGCTCTCTTTCATGTTCTTTTGTTTGTTTTGTCATTTAGTAATTAAGGTATGTAATATGTCTTGTCTGAAATATGGATGCAGAGGTCAGCGGTCTTCATCTAGCTTTTATTTTTAGATTTGTTAACAGATTTACTACACGTTTGCCTTGTGTGAGAGAGACAGACCAAATCCTAGTTTTCTGTTGAGAGAAGTGTTATTATTTAGGGTTGGTTGCTAGAGCGACATTCCTCTTTGTTTCATGCTACAGAAATGCAGTTTACAGCCATCAAGCAGCTTACGTTTGAACATTTAAAGGCTTTATACTCTCATAGACTTAGATTTATAACTGGAGATGCTGGTACTCATCACTGTATTTTTTTTAAAGCAGGTGGATCCTTTACTTCATTTGGGAGCACAACATATTTTTACTTGTCCAGAACTCATGTTTCACCTTGTGTGTCGGCCAGAATTCGTCATCACACTGACTAGAGCGTAATTTTTCTTACGTCCGCTGTGACCTGCGACAAACTGAAGCTTGCAGTAGGACAGTTATCCTGATGTGGCTTTAAAATATGAATAACAAATAAGAAACTCTGCTGTTTTAGCGTTTTGATTTTAACATTTCCTTTTTAAAGAGTCTGTTTCTATCTAAATGATTTTGCTAGTTGCTTTTATTTCCCTCTAAAATATAACTAAAACCAAATTTCCAAGATAGAAACACAAAGTAATCAAGGTTTTACCTCGAACACTTGTTTATCCAATGTGAAATCTTAGATATATCATGTCTCATTATAAATTTAACAATATTTAACCATCGGTCATTAAAATGGCCACTCTCACTGTGTGAAACAGAGCCTTTCCTACTTTTACTTAGAGATTAATTTAAAGATGCATTGCCTTCAGTTTCATTAAAATTATTCAGTTTGAAGATGCTGGGTGGTCTTTAGTTCAGGTGTGGGAACCCAGATCTGGTGTTTACGGGGTGTGGGTGTATACAGTTAATCTGCCAGCTGTATACATCATTTAGAAAATGTGAAGCAGTTAGGCAAAAATGTAAACAAGGAAGTAAGTATGACAGCACATACAGAATAAATATGCAACGGAAATAAAGTTAGACTCTACAGATGATGGAATTAAACATGCTTCTCCAAATACTACTATTGTAGTTTAATCCCTTTGTTATCACCTCTCACATTATTTTTTTATTACTTTTAAATACCAGTTGACCTCTGTGGTAATAGGGTTAGGGTTGTGTCCTTAAGTTAGCTTCTGCCTCTGAGCGCCATAGAGTTTGCTTAAGTATGTGGATTTATAATGTGGAAAGTAAGCAGTTGTTTTGTTCACAGATGCACAATTGAACCTACTGAAGCCTAATAAGGGACACAGAGGACTCACCATGGTCAGGATTTTCCTCTAATAAATCCCCGGCTTTGGAAAAAGAGGGCCCTTGTCCCTGAACCTCATAACAAGCAGTGTCCCACCAGTGGGTCGGTCATTAAAATTAATGCTACACATCCAAACCCTGTTCAGTTTCTCTCGGTTTAATCATCGTAGCATCTTAATGAACAGTTGGAAGAAGCTGATACTGTCGGGGAGGACATAGATCCCCCCCTTCAGTGAAAATCATGTTATTAACTTGTCCATGTGGTGTTTTTATGTTTCATATGATGAGCAAAGAAAGCAGTCAACACCACGGCTGAAGATTTCCACCTTGAAATTGCCGTGTAATGATGATCTTTAAAAAAAAAAACATGGATTCAAACTTCTGGGTTTCCTGCCTTGTCTGCTTGCAGGCTTTCTGTGTCATTATTTTCTTGATGGTTTCTGGTGTGCATATTTATGAATAAATGACTTGTTGCAATTTTACAGCTTGTTATTGTGTAGTGCAGAGTAGTAGTTGGAGAGCTGGTGTGCTTGAACTTCATCTTAATTGTTTTAGGAGAGGGGCAGGCATTATTTTTATGGAAAAAAACTTAAATAAACAGAGATGAGAAAGATTGTAAAGCTACTTAAAGGAAAATGAAAGACAGGAAAAGTGCATTTTAAGGGTTTTCTCAGTTCAAAACAAGGTTTAGAAGCAGCTGAAAGCCGATCGGATTCACTTCATCTAATGGCGGTGATGCGCCGGCCGTCTCCTTCCCATGGTCACTGTGCAGAAGCTGGCAGGCAGCTGTGAGGTTACATAAACGTTACGTAAAAGCGCTGCTGATCTGGTCCCTGTTCTCCCGGCTCTTGCTCTTCTCAATCAGAGCTGATTAGTGTCGAGATGCAGTTTGATTGTTTTGTTCTGTGTTGTTTTTTTGTCTCTGTGTGCATTGTTGATTTCCTGAGAATGCTCTGGTACATGTTTCGACTTCCAAGTATTGTTCCCCGTCGCAGTTCAAACGCCATGCCAATCCAGAAGAGACTCGGTCGTGTCCCCAACAATCACACGAGAAAACTGAATCCTTGCGCCTGTGTTTGCGTATGCAGCTACCTGTTGAGTGTCAGAGCTTCACCACAATCCCCTCTTTTGTTTCTTCGGCCTTTTCTTTGGCAGCTATTTGTTTCCTTCCAATGACGTTCTGTCCAGGAATCATGGCCCGTTGCTTAGCAGGTGTTTGAGTCATTCATATTTTTGTGGGTTTGCTCGTGAGAATGAACAAATTGTGAAAATATTATTCTCTTGGCGGGATGACGTGATGAAGCTGTAATCCCTGTAATGATGGGTCTGCGCTGTGTTTCATTATGATTGGAGGGTTCGGTTCAAGCTGCTGTGCAATTGCAGAAAAACTGCTTAGCCACGTCTCCCGCCACACAATTAAATCTATGTATAGACCCGCAGGTGTGCTATATTTGGGCTGCACATAGCCTGTTTAATACTGCTATTCCTAGAGCTGAATAAGCCTGACTTTTCTTTTGGAAGTACACATGACTCACCTGCCATTTGCCTAATTTCTAACCCATTTTCTAAGTCTCAGCCTCCGCCCTAACAGTTATCATAGCTGCCCAGCGTGACTGAATATTTCCACAAAACAATGTTCATATTCTGTCATGTGAGCCAGAAACTTAAGCCGATAAATCTCTGGCTTCCTTTTCTAATTAACGCCGAGGCAGAGTCTTGCGTGGCATTGTTTGTCCGCCGCCCGGACAGCACTGAGCGGACCCGCACGGCCAACCATAACAGCACGGAGAGGGGCGGGGGGAGCTGAGCGGAGTATTATAGCCGGACAGGATGGTCATAAAATCAAAATGGCTCCCACTGCCAACAAACCCGTGCCAACTAAAACACACAACCGAGAGGAGGAGAGTCTGGTGTAACATTTGAGATTAAGGCCGACATTGTGTACAGTAAATCAGCAGGAGACAACAGGGATTTGGAGCAGGCGGTGATTTTGACATCTCGTGATCCCCGAGAGGTTTTGATTATAGGTGTCGGGCCGTACTAAGCACACGTTACGGAACAGAATAATTCAGGTAAACAGCCATTTTGGATTTGCAAGGTCTGGAAACAGATGAGAGCAGACAACGAGCTTGCGATGCTGCATTGACCAGATCAAGTTTGTGAATATTTAATGTTGTTCTACTGGTTCCACTGGTTCGTGTAACTGGCTGCTGAGCGGTTTTCAGTTTCCTGTCCTATCACACATCGCATCTGAATTCGTCTCTATCTTATCTACTTGACGGCCCAGATTTCTTGTTTGTTTCATTTTTTCCTGCCATTGTGTCACGCGTGTTTATTTTCCCACCGAGCGCACAGTTTCCCAAAATTCTTTATGTGCTGCCCCGCCACGCTGGTGTTTATCCAGCCTCCATGTTGGAGGGTTCTGTGAATCGTGTGTGTTTGAGTAAATGAAGGGGGAAAAAAAGGAGGCTCTGGTCCGGTGTCACGCTCTCCTCTGAGTCCTGCGAAGCCTGTTTGTTTTTAGATCTGCCCCGCAACAATACCCGACTCTCCCCGCACACACTATCTCACACACGCTGCGCGCAGAGCTCGCTGAGAAAACAAGCGACAGCCATAACAAGGACTCAAACAGGAGCTGCACTCGGTAGGAAAACCTGCGCTCACTTCCCAGACTCCTGCCTGACTCACCACTGTCCTTTTATACACGACAGCACATGAAAGTCCCCAAAAAAGTCAGGAAAACAACACTTGACATTTTTTGGCTCCATTACATAAGACTACATTGTGGATTTAAAAATTCTGCTCTGGGGAAAACAAAAGAAAAATGCAGCTTTGATGTTTAGAATAATAAATACTGACATCTGTCCCCGAGGTAGCGGTGAAGAAAGCTCCTTTGTTTTAACTTGTTTCTTCACCGGTCGGAGAAGAAACAGACGAGGGGTGAGAACTTTGTTTCGGACTCTTTCAGAACTTGAACGCGCACACAGACTGTTATTTTTCACCTGTCTGTCTGCCCCTTTGTCCCCCACAGGGGGCTTTAATTAAATGTGTTGCTGCAACAACAGGTACTCACTCACAGCCTCCTATTACTCTATAGAGCTCGCTTCTTTTCTGTTATTGGTCAGAGTGGCAGCTGGTATTTTGTCCACATAATTCACAGTTTGCGCTGAATACGTCTGTTTTATAAATATATTTAGATCAGCTGGAATGAGCTTCCGCATGGACGTTAAATTCAGGATGTGTTGTTTTAGTTCACATTCAAGATTTTAGTTGAGACAAATGTCAAGTGTGAGAAATTCGACCACGGTGCAAAAAACAGATGCACAGATAAGCAAACTACTAGCGTCTACTGTACACATCATCAAACATGAGCAACCAAATAAGTTAAAACATACAAAAATAAGTTGTTTTATTTAATGATGTTATGAAGAAAAGGGTCCTTATTGGTTGTGAGAGTGAGGATGTTGTACTGTTTCTACATGAAGCGGCTTTTTATTGGGGTACTGATTCATAATGGTATCTACAGGGTTCAAGAACTGAGTTTTGCCCGAGCGGTGGGGCAGGTCAGGAGGTCACAGTAAGGTCACGACTCTGCCTCCTCACCCTGTCTTGTTTCCGCCTCTCAGATCCTGGATGAGATCGCAGAGCACGGGATCAAAATCTACCAGCTACCTGACGCCGACTCTGACGAGGACGAGGAGTTCAAGGAGCAGACCAGAGTCCTGAAGGTGAGAGAGGGACACTCACATTGCCAAAGTACGTCAGACGTTCCCTGCTGCTTCTTTAGGGATAGATACCGCTCTCTTCCCATTCATTCTGGTTTCCTTTCACCTCAACGCCTCCTCTCTGGTACCTTTTATTTTCCAGATCTTTTTCCGTATCCCTTCCTCTGACTTTGTTTCTCTTCTGGCATCCACTGACATCGAACTTCCTTTCTCAGGCGAGCATTCCCTTCGCCGTGATTGGCTCCAACCAGCTGATCGAGGTGAAAGGGAAGAAGATCCGCGGTCGTCTTTACCCCTGGGGAGTTGTCGAGGTGGAGAATCCCGAGCACAATGACTTCCTTAAACTACGCACCATGCTTGTGTGAGTCTCCTTGGCAATAAACCTCCTTTAGTAATCCGATTTTCACATGAAAAGACTTTTAAAACCTCCACTTGCCTTTTTTCCTCATTAAGCCGGCTGTAGAAGTCCGCCGTAGGAAAAGTAAAGCTGAGCTCTCCTGCCCTCTAGTGTGTGAAGATCCGATCATGTGTCTGATTTGTTGCAGGACCCACATGCAGGACCTCCAGGAGGTAACCCAGGACCTGCATTATGAGAACTTCCGCTCAGAGAGGCTGAAGAGAGCCGGCAGGTGAGAGGCTGTTTGATATGCACTCATGAGCTGTTACGACTTCAAGCGTGGTTAATTATATTTAATGCATGTTTTCCTCTGCAGAGCTGTGGATGAGGAAGTGGTTGATAAGGACCAGATCCTGCTCCAGAAAGAGGCTGAGGTAAGAGCACACGGCTTTAGTCTTTAGTCTCTTTTGGTTTGTATGACGTTGCAGCCGTTCCTTATTCAAGAGGATACTGAGTTATTTCCTAATCTCACATGAAGATTTTGTGATGCTTTCCCTGAAAACAATCCCCTCTCTTCAGTTTCTGTGCACTCAAGAAATCTCTGCTCTCAGATTTGTGCTCTCGCTTTTGGATGTTTCTGAAATAATGCCGTCAAACATCTCCAACCAATAGAATGTCAGATAGACTATGATGCTGACATCATCACTACCTGCTCGCTTTACACAATCTGAATGTAAAATAAATGAAATAATGCTCTCAAAGTTGAAATAAAGAATGGAAAGTAATGCCATAGGACAGCTGTACATGCATGTATACAGGCTCTACAATCAGTGTGTAATCACATTAATTACATTAATATAAGACTCACTTTGGGATATTTATGTTGAAAAAGTTATCGGTTGCTCCTCCTCTTCTTACTGGTTGTAAAGAGTTCCCTTACTAATGCCAAACTGTAAGACATTGGGGAAAAATCTACAATCCTTCTATCATTCAATGCAAAAAAAACAAAGTTAAGACAACTATAAAGCATTCTCAGTTTGAGGTAGAAACTTTTTGATTGTGATATAATCACATTTTTTGTACCTTTCAACTCCGAGAGACTTAAAACTTTCTGGTATAGATCGTCAACATGCTGACTGACGCACATGTCAGCAGTGTTTTCTATTAAAGTAGCAGAACTACACGAAGGAAAAGTTTATCTTTGGAAGATAGGACACTGATAAAATACTGTATCACCACAGAAATCACAGGAGCTGTGAATGGAAACGAGCGACTCACTGAGTTTTAGTCGGCTGTTTCCCCTGGCCACTTTATTTTGAAAACATCAACAGCTCAGCAAATTATTCTAGCATTCAGTGTAGTTGTGGGTTTTGGAGTAAACACATCTCCTAAAAATGCAAAACGACCTGATCCCTCAAACCACAGCAACCCAGGCGGTCAAGTTTAAATGTCGAGTCACTGTTACCGTTTAGAAAAACTGCCGTGTCACTGTTGTCCGCCATGTGTGGCACCATAACATGAAAACGTTCTCTGGTTTTAGTCGCTGCAAAACCAAACCTGGAAAGCTGTCGATTCTTCAGAGTGTCTCTTTGTTAGAAAGAGAAAGAAACGTTTTGTTTACTTTGACCCCACTACATGTCATCAGGCAATAATCTGCTTCCTGACGGGTCCGGATCGGCCCGTTTGCGTCGCTCCGTAGCGAGCGGGCGCGGTGCAGTCAGAGCTGTTTGTAAACAATGTGCCCGGGCAGCAGGATATGCCATCACTTCCTGCCTGGATGTCCCACTGAAGTTTTATGGTGGGAATGACCTCAGAAACGTGAGCAGCGTGAAACACAAAGCTGCAGGGACACTGGGTCATTTGTGGATTTGGTGGAAGGAAACATCACAATGACCACTGGTACTCCCCAGGTCCATAATAATACCCCAGATGTTATTGTTATTTGTCTGAAAAGTTCCTGGAAAGAGCTTTTGCACTAATAGCTTGAAATTGAGAGTTCGTCTGTGAGGATTAGTTGTCAGGACACATAGAAAGGTCAGGTGGTCTTTCTGTGTAGATGTAGTTAGTGCAGTATTAGAGACAATGCACATCTATAAACATTACTGTAAATGTTTTATATAGTCAGGAGTCTGTTTTTATCTGTGTTGCCTCAACAATGATGCCAAGTCGCCCTCCAAAAAGAATATAATATTAAAATGACAAAGCTTTTGAGCTAATTTATAAACTGGCAGAGCAACAAATGAAAATTAAGAGAATATTATATAACATATATGACATACTACATTGTTAGGTACTATTTAAGACATGCATGTGTTATTGGGAATACATGTAATTAAAGTGGCAAATGAACGTTAATAGAAATGTGGAGAAAAAACACAGTCAAACTAGAGTTTCTAATATAGGAAAAGAAATGCTTTTGTTGTCTGAAATGCAGTTAATTGAGGTGTTTCTTACGTAGCTTAGAGTCTCACCGCAAAGTTTCTTCTTTATAGGAGGCTTAAAAAAGCTTTACCTGCTAAGAGAAATCATCATACTTGACTTTAATTCTTATTAAATCTATATTTAATATGAAAACAACAAAAATGATAATAAATGAACATAAAATCTGTGTTTAAAGAGATGTTTACTTGAAGTTGTCGTCGATTTTAAAACTATTTCAGCTGCAGGAAGCATCGACGTTTTCCGTCTTTCACCTTTAATCTAAATTTTGGCTGCCAGAAAGGATGTCAGTTTGCTGAGACATTGTAGTTGCCTCAAAATAACTCGATTTTAAAACACATAAGATCACAATAAAATAGTTTTATTGAGGAAAAACATCCAACACGAGCCATTGGATGTTTCCTGCTCGGCCACAAGATGGCGCTAGAGGCTAAAGAAATCCACAATTGGTTAACAGTTAAACATTCACCTCTTTTATTAAGTAGTTACTGTTCTAATTTATTTCCTGTTTAAGGCCCAGCAGCTGCCTTCACTTTAACATGTATTTACACATTAATTCATTTTTGTTGATTTTAAGCTTCGTTCATTTTTAAACACTTTCTTTTATTGCCATTACAGCCGATATAAATCTAAAATATATGACTCTACATTATATCTACATTTGGTTGGTGTGTTTACAGTAACGCAGCAGGTTTTCTTGTGTTGTAAATAAAATCTTGTGCTTCAGGTGGTTCTTGACGAGAGGCTTCTTCTGGTTCATTCTGGTGTTTAAACGCCGACCTGTGAAATCAGCCTCGTTTTAGTCATTTATTAACGGATATTCTGTCTTTTCTAGTTTTGAGTAAGTGTGCTCTTAAACATGCTAAACATCTGCAGGGTTTTTTTCTTCCAAATAAGATGCTTTTTCTGGTACTAAGAAGAGGAAATTCTCCACTCTCTGGACAGATCTGACCTCTCGTGAATTGTGTTACCTGTGTTCATTTCTAATCAGCTACTGATATTAGCAAACGCTGTGTTAAGAAATGAAATAGGAAACCTTTAATCTGTAGCTTTCAGGTGTTTTCCTCATCTGAAGCGAAGCAGTTTGTGTTGCTCTTGTTAAATGTGAGCTCTGTTTTGGTTTTCTGCGACACCAGAAGTCCTAAAGAGCACAACCTCAGCTAGACATAGAGAGAACTGATAAATGTGTTTGTGCAATACAGCAAAGTTAAAATGACACGAATCAAGCACCACCAGAAGGTTAGACATCTGATGATTTGTTGTGTAGATAACATGCCTCTCAAGGTTTCCAGGGTTTCAACCGAGGAACACAACTCAGAATGTAAAAACGAGTATTACGCTTGTGTGCGATTTTGTTTTTATCTTTTCCTCCCTCTCTGTGCAGCTGAGACGCATGCAGGAGATGATCGCTCAGATGCAGGCACAGATGAAAATGAAATCAGACGAGTAAAAAGGTTGAGAGTCGTCGGGAAGCACGGTGACGCCATCACACAAACATATCAAACACACATCTGTCCAACGGTTCCTGCCGCCCTGCAGACCCTCCAGGAGCCCAGGACCATCTGCACACTACCACCTCCTCTTCTTCTTCTTCTTCTTCTTCTTCTTCTTCTTCCCTCCAAACATCCATCCATCAGCTGTTCTGGAGCTCCACTCTGATGTCTTTTAACATCTCGTCCAGTCTCCACATAAAGTCCACAATAAACCTAAGGGAGAGTGGACAAGATGTTGGCGTGCTGGACGTTCATCACGATTACCCGCTACCTTAACTTAAATCTTAAATACTGTCAACGGTACTGAGAGTCTTTGCCATCATGCAACATGTTTACAAAAGCACGAGTTTTGTTCAAGTTTATTTTGCTGTCAGGTTTTTAAATTGCAAGTAAAAAGCTGTTTCCTGCTTATGAGTCGTTCGGCGCCTGTTTGCTTCGAGCTGATGATAACTTTAAATACTCCTGCAGCTAAAGGTACGTGTGCTCGGTGTCCAGGACGAGGAAACACTCACATATTTGTTCCTAACTGTGTCACACTAACAGTAAAAACGCTAACGCCAGATTGCTATAAGGACTTTAGGATCAAGTCATACTTATTGTTTTTGTATTTATCACCAGTGCCAAACTACAGACTGTAAACTAATCAGATTATTCAGAACCGCAGCTCGTTATGTGTCTGAGTTTGTCTCATTGATGTCGTTTAATGTGTTCGTACACTACACGTGCAGTTTTGCTCTAATCGTGCTTTCCCATTTAGCTAATGTGTAACGTTACTCTGTGTAAACGCCCTCCAGCTTTCTGTGAGCAGCAGACTAAACATCCAGCTTCTCCTCAGCGCTGCAGTCTAACTGTGCCGCCTCCGACAGGCCGCTGGCATCATTGTGTTGTTTGTCAGTTGAACTCAAGGCAAACGTAATTCTTATTTCTTAACCATGTGTCAGTAAAGCCTTGTTTTTAGTTGTCTACATTTTTTTTTGTATTTCTCTCTGAAATAAAATTTGTCTAGAGAACAAAGTTTGTCGAATAAGTTTTGCATTCTTTCTGTCAGCAGCTTTTAATAGAACAAAACAAAATAATGTCAGCTTTAGTCTTGATATAATTTGCCTTGTTTTCCAGCACATGGGATCGAGCCTCATTAATAAATCCATTCATGTGCTCAGTGTCGCTCATGGTCACAGTGAGTTGTGTTTTTTTTTTGCTCATGTTCATGATTTGTGGGACTACGTTTGTTTCTGATGTGACATTTAGTATGGAGCAGTGAGAGTGCCAAATTACAACAATAAATCCATGAAAGAATAATAAAATAAAAGTGGAAATAAAAAGAAGAATAAATAAAAGAAAATAAAAAATAATGTGGCAATATAAAGCAATATTAATTAAAAATGAATCCATAAAAGAAAAAGCTAATAAAAGTAGAAATATAAAGACAAATAAATAAAATAATATTTTTTTAAAAATCATTTTAGTTTTTTATTTATTTGTCTTTATATTTCTACTTTTATTAGCATTAAAAATAATTATTTGTATTAGTTTTAAATACATTTATATTTTATTTGTCTTTATATTTCTATTTTTTACTATTAAAATAATTATTTACTTATTATTATTGTTTTTGATTATTATTTATTATTATTATTTTTGTTTGTCTTTATATTTATACTTTTTATTAGCATTAAAAATAAGAATTATTTATTTATTATTCTTTTAAAATTTTTGTCTTTATCTTGCTTATGTTATATTGTCTTTTTACTAGCATTAAAAATTATTATGTTTTATTTTTCTGTCTTTATGTTTCTACTTTTTTTAACATTAAAAATAATTATTTTGTTATTTTATTTTTGTAATTTTTTCGATTTATTTTTCTGCTTTTTATTATTTTTTAACAGGGCTGTATATATATATAAAATGAGCATTAGTCTGCAGGAAGGCATGAACATAAAGGCAGTTAGTGGCTGTAGTGACTCGTGTTGAGCCCTCATGGCATCCAGAGCTGTGCAGCAGCAGCAGCAGGAGGAGGAGGAGGAGGAGGAAGAGGAGGAGGGTTTTCATCTGTCAGCTCAGCCCGCCCTCCCGCCGTCCGTCCGGGGCTTGGAGGCGAGGCGAGGGGCCGCTTTCCGTGAGTCGTCGCTTCGCTGAAACCGAGGGAGGAGAGCGCTCATCATGACGAGCAACATCAGGTACAAGAGCCGGATCCCCGTCAAAACAGGTGAGCAGCAGCTCTCTGGGCTTCTAAAGGCAGCAGCTTGGTTTCTATTTATTTATCTATTTACTGAGGATCAATGCTTCATGTTTGTGTCTCCCTGGGCGTCGCTCTGCATCCTGCACCTGCGCCTCCTCCATCCATCCATCCTGTAATGGCCATCAGAGGACAGCACGGAGGTAGGAACCAGCCTTTAACCCGGTTCTGTTATGCTTTTGGGTTTTGCTGAGGATGCGTGTTTATCATCAGGAGCGCGAGCGGCGCCGCGGCCGCAGCAGCAATATTTACGTTTCACATCACATTGGTCCCGTTTTTTTTTTTTTTTAATATCACGCGATGCTCTGAGGGCAGCCGAGGCTTCACACATCGCAGCTCTGACAGCGGGGGGGAGGTTCATTTTTAGACGCGTATGTGGAGCAGACCGGCGCCACAAGAGGCGAACATGGTACCCAGCAGCAGCATCATCATCATCCTCCCTCTCCATCCTCTCCATCCTCTCCTCCGCTGCCAGCTCGTTTATTAGCGATGATCTGCCACCGATGGACTGACCTGGTTGTTTCATCAGCCTTCAGCCGTCCTGACCATTGTTGGCTGAGAAACGCAGCTGCCACATGAGCCTTCAGGGGAGGTCGGCTCTCTGGTGACCCTGGGCCTTCCTCCTCCTCCTCCTCCCCCCTCTTCCTCTTAGTGTCTGATGACAGCACAGGAGGGTTTGCATGTGGTGTGTGTGTGAGTGAATCATCCAGCATCAGCAGAAAGAATGGATAAATGAGATGTACAGGGAGGGTTTCTCATGCAGAAGCTGAGTGGATAAATGAGCACTTATGGGATATTTTAAATGCAGAAACGTGCATTATGTCAGCAGCAGCAGTAGATCTGTGCTCTGTGGAGCTTTCACAGAGGTGTTGATTTATTTTTGTGGTCATTTTGAAAGCTCAAGTCTGTGCTGCCAGTGAGCTAATGAGAGGAGGTGTGAATGGTTCTATTCTTGTCGATATGAATGCAAAGACTGAGTAGAAGCATCTCAGAAATAACTGAAACTATAAGCTGTAGATTCACTGAGCTGTTCTTCTCTCCATGTTCACATTCGTCACTTTGGACTGAGAGCAGAGCTGCAGCTAATGAGTGTTTTCTCAATTAATTGATCCGTTGCTCGGTCTGTAAAGTGTTGATCAGAATCAGTTACGGAGATGCTTTCATAGAAGAGGAAAGAGAATCAGAAAAGTCCTGACATGACCTCCCTTTATGACAACGGGTGGGTTTAAGGTACCAATCATTAGAATAATGCATTGATCAGACTCGATTCTGATCCTGAAATCCAATCAGGACGTCTGTAGTTTTCACACATGTAAATATTCTATATTTCAACAAAGGATTTCATTTAAAAGCAAAACTAGAAAATGAATT